TTAGAGCTACATGATCAAAGCCCTGTGTAGGCATTTGGGTCAGTGCCAGCAAAGTTCAGGTTGTACTTCAAACGAGTCCTCAGAGTGCCTCACAGCCAAGGGCAAGGGTTCACTGGGTTTGATCTTGAGCTGCCCACATTTAGGGAGTCTTCAGCCCCTTCAGTTGATAAGCCCTGCTTGGCAGAGCTCTGCATTCATTAACGTGGCCCTTGGGTCGATTCGATTTCCTATGTGTCAGCACCTGACTGGATGTAACCTTATCTTTGCACGTCATACTCATGATGGATCTGAAACAGTACAGGTGAAGTTTGTCTTTGACCTGACAGCTGGATTACATCCCAGTTTCACAACCACAGAAGAAAAGTCTGAAATCTCAACTCATCATTGACATTTTATGGAGCAGCCACAATGGGTGAGATGCTAATATGATTGGACATGGCGATTCCAGTAAAACGGTGATTATTTAAAAGTGTATTTCTCTACTAAGTGTAAGTGTTAGAGGCAATAGAAATAAATAAGTGATAGATGGTTCTTGGGGGTGACATGGAGGCATCTCTCCGAAGCTTGGAAGTTAGGGCAAGTAGTTGTTCTCTAAGCATTAAGTTACTTAAATACATGCATAATTGAAGGAGACAGAATGTTTCTTTACCTTTTGCAAAATGTGATTTCAGAAGAGATAGTACAGCCCAGTGTCCTAAGGAGCATGAGTCCTACAGTGCTTCTCAAATCTGTTTGGGACAATCTTCCATAGTCACAATGCCGATTTCACTTTGTTTACATTTGCATTTCTTAAACGTGTTTTAAACCATAGAACTCTATCACACGACCTCTTGCTTTTTTAAAAAACGTCATACTCATTAGTGTACTAAGGAGCTAATTTACAAAGCATACTTACTCTGGGAATATGCCTGTCCCAAGATAAGGAAAAAAGCTCACCTTGGATGATCTGCACTGGAACACAAAATAAGTAATCATAGAGGCAGAGTTTTGTGACTTGTGTAGAATTGTCCTAGAGAGATGGTGATGGAGGTGAAAGGGGGAATCACTCCACTCACCAGAGATCCTGTCCGTGTACATGTGTGTGTTTGTGTGTGTGTACACGTGTGTGTATGACTTGAAGTGTCATCTCCTCTGTCCTTACCATAGTCTGTATGGAACATCCTCTGATACTATTCGCTCACCCTTTGCAGATTTCTGAATAAAAATGTGATACGAGGAAGGTGTTCTATGGATAGGAGCAAGGTATTCTGGACCCCAGAAAGGGATATCCTCCACTATGGATAGTCAAAATTTTTACTTATTAGTTTCTTGTGAATTAACCAGATGCAGTACGACCATCTCTGAATACCCTGAAAAATACCTGGGTCCAAATAGTGGCTTTGCTACTCACTAGATGTATACTCTCAGGCTGGGCTCCATTTCTTCATTTGTGTATTGGGGATACTGTGAGCTTGTGGGATTTCCATAAGTATTAAAGAAAATATGATTAGTGCCTTTCACATCATAAGCATTCCACAAATCTATTTCATAGTCTTGTTGTTTCTATTATGAAACCTTATTTTAAAGATCAACAGACATTAGCACAATTTATAATGTGTTAGAGTCCTTCAAACATTTTCCTCAACAGGCCATTGTTAACAAAATGTGCATTGCTGTCTTTGATTCATCATTGCTAAGGCAAAATGAGTGATGATATAGGTGAAAAATGAAAGAAAAGGTCTATAGATAGGCAAGATGCCTTTTTCCTTTGACTTTCAGCTTCTGGAAGACAGGGGCCTTGTATCTCTACACCCAGAGTGCCTAGTAGTGGGCAGGTATTTCTGCTGAATGAATGGATATGCTAATTATCAACTAGACGGTTCTGAAAAAGAGAGTTGTCATTGGAGCTGCTGTGTAGATCCAATAATGGAAACCAGCTCCTGGAAGGGAACGCCAGCTTGGCAGAGCTTGCAAGTGAGAAGCAAGTCTTTAATAAGCTATTGCTGTTGATAGCTAGAGAGAAAGGGGAATTTAGACTGGGAGACGGAATGGCTTCAAGGATTCCTGATCAGGTTTTTATTCTGACGAAAACTTGCCGGAAAAGGTCCCTGCTCTCTGATATTGTGAATGCCTGTCTGCGAGAGGCGCAGGAAAGTCAGGCGAAATCGGTTAGGGTGTTCTGCTCAGTGCGGCTGAATGTGATGGATGACTCGGTATGTTGTTTATCTACTCCAGGTTGGTATTTCACCTCTGTTTTCATTAGACTGATGGTAAGGTAATAATTCTTTCCTCTGGCTGAAAAATCTGTCTTCAGCCATTTGTTGATCTTCTTGAATGGGCACTTCAGGTGCACAGAAGTCACCCTAAAGGAGATTTTGAATGAAAACTTAAATAATGCTGGTCGGCATCCATGGAGCTCTCGGGCAGCATGGGCCTCCGCTAGACTGGCTGTGATTATTAGGTGTGCAGCATCACATTTGCCCAAGGACAGCAAGCCTACGGAATGGTACAGGGTAACCACGGCTGTAGAAAACAAAGCATGAACATCACATTTGATTTCTTTGGAAAAACTCAAGCTTATATTGTAAATTAAATTAAGGCAATGCAGTCTTCTTGAGGTGTTTCCATATAGCACTGTGTTACGATGGAAAATGCCTCAGCCTGGGCCTCGGAAGTCTCCACCACAATACTCTCTCTGGGCAAATCTCTTAATGTCTCTGAGCCTCCATTTCTTCATCTCTCAAGAGATAATAATAATGTGTGCACTGGTTTTAATAGAAAGCTCTTATCAAGATGATATAGTTTTGAGTTTTTCCCCAAGGCAAGGAGGAACAAACAGAACAATGACAGAGGCTAGTGGCCTTAGTAAGCTGTAGCTCTATAGCTCCTCCCTCTTTCCAGCCTCTCTGATGGAGGGCACAGAAAGGAAGATGGCAGAGTTGGCTCATTAAGCACTGATCAAGGAAGGACTCTCCCCACACCCGACAGAACAGATCCATCCCAGCAGTTTTCTGAGTTTGTGAGCTGATGGGCAAAGTGATAGAACTTCCATTCACAGGGCTCATCAGTTGCTCCATCCGGAAGGGGACTGCTGAAAGGTTTCATCCACCCGAGACAGAGTGGCCAGTAGAGAAGATAGAATCTTGTAACTGCTGGTTCTAACTCGTGGGACTCCCATTAAGAATGAACGTCCCTTTCTTCCTATCAACCTGTGAGGACAGCCCATCCATTACTTCTATACTATGGGTTACTTGCCTAAGAAACGGTTCTCATTTAATAGAACGAGGGTGCCCATATGTCCTGATTTGTTCCTGACAGTCCCATTTATGCTTTTTGTCCCTGAATAAATATTATAGCACTACCATTAACTCTCAAAGTGTCTGGGTTTGGTCAGTAAATTATATGACACCTCAAACGCATTAATTTTATAATAGGCACCTTCTCAATTCCCAGAAAATGCTTCATATGTATCACCAGTAACCTCTCTACCATCAGTTTAGTTGATTTGTAATATACAAATACAAATACATTTTTACTTTATAATTTTCACATAGCAATTTGTAGTCATCAATATCATTTTCACAGCATTCCTGAGTTGAGGGAGCATAATTACAAAGAATTGTGGTTTAATAAAATGATGAAGGATTTTCTTTCAAATACATTTTGAAATGTTGCAGAGGCTGGCCAGTAAGTTTCCATTTAATTGACACTATACAAAAGTTATGTTAGTTGATTCTCATAAATGTATTTTGGGAGGCCAGGTGAGAAGATCACTTGAGAATAGGAGTTCAAGACCAACCTGGGCAACATGATGAAACACTATCTCTACAAAAAATAAAAATACAAAAAATTAGCTGGTTGTGGTGGCACACGCCTGTAGTCCCAGCTACCTGGGAGGCTGAGGTGGGAGGATCAACTAAGCCCTGGAGGTCAAGGCTGCAGTGAGCCGTGAGCATGCCACTGCACTCCAGCCCAGATGACAGAGTGAGACCCTGTCTCAAAAAAAAAAAAGTAAACTACCGTAATTTATAATTCTGAAATAACAATGTCAACTAAAGCAGTATTATTATTATTTTTAGAGACAGAGGCTTGCTCTGTCAACCAGGCTGGAGTGCAGTGGCATGATCATAGCTCACTGCAGCCTCAAACTCCTAGGCTCAAGCCATCCTTCTGCCTCAGCTTCCAGAGTAACTGGGACTACAGGCATGCATCGCTATACCCAGCTAATTCTTTTAGCTTTTGTTTGTTTTTTGTAGAGATGGGCTCTCGCTATGTTGCACAGGCTGGTCTTGAACTTCTGGTCTTAAGTGATCCTTTCACCTTGGCCTCCCAAATTGCTGGGATTATAGGCATAAGTCATCATGCCCAGCCAATAATTATTTTTATTTATTTGTTCTTCAGTTAAGCAGTCATTCAACAAATGATTGTTTGTGAAATGTTTCCAGGTACTGTGCTACATAAGGGAAATATAAAAATGAAAGACAGAGACTCTTACCATAGGAATTTATAGGAAATGAGTTTAAGAGACAAGTAGATTATAATGAAACCAGATTATAATACGGCTAGAGTAGCACAGAACCCACCTAACCCATCCAGCTACATGGCACCAGACAGCCAGGAACAGAGGGATGTGGTAGTGAGGGATGGCTTCCAAGTGGCAGTGATGTGGAGCTGTCTTGAAGGACATGTAGGAGTTAGTCGAGGGAGAAATAAAAGAAAAATACTTTACAGTGTATTTTCCAATATTAGAAAATAAAATAATTAAGACAGATTTTAAAGCCAGGAAACATTCTCTTCTCTGAATATTCTCTTCCTGTGGGATACAGTTTGGATGTTTGTTCCCTCCAAATCTCATGTTGATATTGATTCCCAGTGTTGGGGGTGACTGGACCATGGAGGTGGGTCACTCATGAATGGTTTTGCGTCATCCCCTTGAGGATAAGTGAGTTCCCACCCAGTTAGTTCATGAGACATCTGGTTGTTTAAAAGTCTAAGACCTCCCCGTCTCTTTCTTGCTCTAGCTCTCACCATGTGACGTGCCTGCTCCCACTTTTCCTTTTACCATGACTGGAAGATTCCTGAGGCCCTCACCGAAGCCTAGCAGATGCTGGTGCCATGCTTGTACAGCCTACAGAAACATGAGCCAATTAAAGCCCTTTTGTTTATAAATTACCCAGCCTCAGGTATTTTTTCATAGCAATGCAAACGGCCTAATACACTGTGCATTTGGCAGGAAACTGTTGCTGGTGGTCTGGCGGACTGAATGATTGAGTAAGCTTTCAATTTAGGAAGCTCTTGAAAGGAGACAATTCTCTAATAGCACTTTCCAGTAGAAATATGTGATTCACGAATAGAATTTTAAATGTTCTATTAGCTACATAATCACGTTACACAATTACACAAAAAAGGTGAAATTCATTTTAATAATCTATTATGTTTCACCCAGTATTTCCAAAATATTACCATTTCAGTGTGGAATCAATATAAAAGTAATGAGCTATTTTGCAATTTTGTTTTTATATGAAGTCTTCAAAATCTGATGTATATTTTACATGTATATGTTTCAGTTTGTACCAGCATATTGCAGTGGTCAATAGTCAGATGTGTCTAGTGGCTCTTATATTGAGGGGTCCAGTTTTATAACATCAATATTAAATCCCACCATGGTCACAAATGAAAATGAACCCAGAGTGTTCTGGCTGGATTTATTCATGATAACTAATCCCTCACTTACATAAACAGCATATGCTTCAAGAAGGAATAACAAAGATGCTATAAAGATCTGTGTCCTGGGCATTTGTCTTATATTTGACAGCCAAGAGTGTTTATGACAGGCCCTGTACTTCACAAGCAAGCTATAATACAGTATTGTAAATACAAATGTTTTAACTGTGGGTATAGTAAAAGCATTTTGGGCTTCCCAGATTGGCTACAGATTCCACCATCACTGGGGCCAGTTTGTGATTATGCATCTATGATACAACTCAGAACCATTTATTCCGTCATAAAAGATGCGGTCAAGGCAAACTCTCACACATAATGTCACCTGTGATCATTTTTTTCTGACTGAAATAGCTGCAGTGCTATTGTATACAAGCGTATTTCTTTTAGTGAGATAAGACAAAATGATAGCATTGAGATGAGAGACTTGTAATGATTTCCCACTGGGAGCAATGATCTCTGGTTCTTAATTTCTCTACCTGTGAAATGGCAGTAATAATTTCGGCCCTGAGGTCTGAGTACCATGAGGATATGAACAAATACTTTTCATTTTTCTGATTCTCAGTTTAGCAGAGGACTTACAATTGCGAAAGTATTTCTTCAATCTGCAGAAGTGTTTGTGAGAGATAGGGCCATCCAGTGAGTTCCTTTTTCTTTATTTTCTTTAATGGGTCACTCACAGTTTGTGACAAGAGCATTACTAATTGCATAGCTGGTGCCAGGGGCACTGTGGAGTCATTGAGGAAATCACTGTTAGCTACAACCCGCATAAAAGCCAATTACTCTCTAGAGAGGCAACATGCCATCCTGAGAGAATACAGGGCTGGTGCCTCAAAGTTTTTCCACAGACGAGGTACGCAGCCTGGGGCAAACTATTTTAACTGCAGCTTTCTCAGCTGTGAAAAATGAGAATGGCAATCCTTACTGCTTTGGAAGAGAGTTGTGTTTATTAATTAGTTTGTATTTCAAAGTGCTTCACAAATGGAAAGTTTCACTATTGGATTAAGGAAAAATGTCCTTTCATTTTATCCCCCTCCACCTTAGGAGGAAAAGAAACTGTGCTCACTGAGGCTGGGAGAAAAATGGAGGGGATTCAGGCAAAAAAGCTAACAAACCTGACTTCCATGGTAGTGGCTCATTTCCCCGGCTGTAAGATGGCACCCATTAAAGGCAGCTTTGTAAATTAGGCATCTGAAAGGGCAACCAAACCTGCCATCTGAAGAATTGCATTCATTTTAGACTTAATTTTTATGATTGCTTCAAGAGAAAAAGGGAAAGAAAATGAGCCAAATCACACTGTGATAGGGGATTTGAAAATGAGAAGTAGCATAAATAATATCATGTTTTCTTGCTTGAAAAATAGGAGGTTGGATCTGCTTATATCCCAGCCTTTAGACTCTCAAATCTCCTTGTTCTGTTTCTAGCTTAACTCGGTAGGTCCACCAGTATTTTCCTACCAAGTGTTCTACTGTCATTAATTGTTTAAAAAATAGAGAAGAGAGAGAATTCATTTCTATTCTTCTTGTGACTGTCCCCCAGTTTTTCATTTCTCCTTCCATACTGCAGAATGCAGCTGTCTGGCCAGGGACTGCACTTCCCAACTTCCTTTGCATCTATCTGGGTCATGTGACAAGTTCTCACCAATGGAAAATGAGCAGAAGTAGAGTTTCTAAGTGGCTGTGCCTTTTCCAGTATCTCTGGGGACTGGAAATGATTCTGAAGCCATAGGGAAAGGCCAAGCCTCAAGAAAGAAGGCTGAATCCTTTATCACCACATGGAGGAAAATCTCCCACAGAAATGGAACATCTGCTTTGGATTGTTATCTGAGTGAGAGAGAAACTTCTGTTGTGTGAAGTTGCTGATATTTTGAAGTTTATTGTTGTAGCAGCTAATGTTACCCTAACACATATACTGCCAAAGCTGACACTCTGCCCCAAAGTTTCCATTATAGTTGTCTTTTCCATGTCAGAACTTGAAATTCCTTTAGGACTTTCATGACATTCAGTATAGTTCAGGACATGTAAGGTATTTAATAAATGCATATGGAATTGAGGAAGGAAGGTATAAAGGAAGGGAGGGAAGAGGGAGGGAGGAAGGAGTGGTTGAATTAATGTGTATGCATTTAATATGACTCACTTATTTTCTTTTGTGCTTTTAAAGTCAACATGTCCATTTCCACCCTCCACCCTCATTCTCACATTAAGCTATGGAGACGGGGAATATTTGTACTTTTTTCATGGTCTTCTAAAGAATGGACATACTGCCATGAGAGAAATTGCTGGTCAGCGAGAAACAATTCCTTAGAGAAAGCAACCCACATATCATCACCCAAGAGAGCTGGACCATCGCCAACATCTCCATCAGGAACTTGGAAGAGTTGTCTGTCTTCCCAACACAATAAAACTGGAGACACGAGCATGCAGAGCTCCAGCCAGCACAATTACATAAAGCCAAAGCACATTATCGCTTGCAGGATGCAGGATTTATGACCAACTATGATGGAAAATACAGAGATACTTTACTTGTCTGAATCATCACTCACAGAAGACAATATGTATATTAATAATAGAGAAAAGTTGTCTATATTGTACTTTTTCTAATGAAAACCTTAGTAAACAGAGCAGAAACAGATGCAGCATCTTAGAGAAAAAAGAAAAATGGAAAAGATTGCCAGTTTGCTCCTCTTCAGAAAATATGCAATTGCTGTTCTTGTTGAAAAATTCCTTTCTAATGCATTGAGGCAGCATTTCTATTTTGGCAGTTTTCTTTGTTTGAGTTGCTGCTTCTAACTTGAGTGGAACAGAGAAGAAGTAAGTTTGTATTCTCTATGGGTGTGTGCTGTTCCAAGTATGAAGCAGTGAAGCTAAAATCACTTTACTTCTAGAAACCTGTGATTTCCATTTGCCATGAGGTTGACACTTCCTCTGGCAGTGCCTTTGCCCCAAACTGTCACAGAACCATGCTCTTTAGCTAGCATAGCATTCTTCATCTTTATCATAGCTGCTTACCACTTGTTTCTGCTCTGGAATGCTCACCCTGTACGTGCAGGGTGTGTGGTGTCCTGGCCCAGTGCTGGCACATGGTGAGCACTCAAAAAAATATTGAAGAGCTCTCTTCACATTGTAATTTTATGTTATCAGTGTTTTTACACAATTGGTTTGCATTCTCAGTCCCCTTGTACACAATGAGAAGGTAAACCAGTGTGCTCTTTGTCTATCATTTTCAAATTTTGAATTATTTAAATACATGTTAGTGAAATCACTTTATCAGAACCAAAATTGCAATCTTAAAACTTCTGCAAGACAGAAAAGATTGTTTAACAAAGGAAGGAAAATGTTACAAAGCCAGATTCCCCTCTTAATTTTGTCAGTGCTTGGACTTGGCCCCCAAACCCTAAAAGTGAATTTGTTTCTAGAACACCTGAAACAGAGACCACATTTTTATGTTTGCCTTTTCACAGTGAAGTTTACGTTAGGGAGCTATATTTTCCTTATATTTATTTTTAAGTCATTTGGGCTTTCCAATAAAATAGCATTCCCATTTTCTTCCCTCTTTCCAGATTAATGCGTTTATTATGTTAATACATGAAGGGGTCCACGTGGGGCTGGGGTTGGGGGCTGGGATGCTCTGCAGTGGTGCACTTGGAAAACAATGTGTTATTTGCATTTAAGAAAATACTTTGTTGGCTAAGTGTCTAGCCAGTAAAACAATAACAGTTCACCAAGACAGTTATCCCAAATACCCTTCCAAGAGTGGCAATCAGTTTTCCTAAAGAGTCAAAGAAAAGAGTGAGAATTGTGGGAAGTGGGATACTAGAAGGACAGACTCATTTGGAAACAGGAAGTGGTTCAAGGAATCTAGGATTTGGAATATAGGAAAAGAAATGGGGAAACATACCCATGCCTTCTCTTCTCTGTAGACATCTGATTTGAACCTACTTCAGGTTAGTAGGAAGTACAATCATTATCTGATGTTCTGTGACCACATGGAAAATACATTGGTAGTCGCGACCAGACTAGAGTCAACATTGAGAAACCACCAGAACAACTAACTTGGGCTGGTGAGGCACAGCTACTGGTCAAAACCTGCCCAGGAGGCCCAGTACCACTCACAGTCAGGATCGGGGTCATGGTAAGGGTAGGTCAGCTAGCTTCCTGCAGCCCACCTCTGATGGGGAGGTGAGGGCTTCCAGCCCTGGGCTGCTCATTCACCTCCCCTCTGGGGCAGTAAACAGAGAAGTAGCAAGAAGCTAAGCTCCTTTTGTTAGGCATTATTAATTCCTCTAAAGTGACCATTGATGTATTTTTTATTCAGTAACTTAGCATATATATGTGTGTACAATTAATAGTTATGTATAATAAAAGTGTATTAAAATTTTTAAACATAAATTGTGATCGTTGCACAATTCTGTGAGTACACTACAAACCATTAAAATGTATACTTTAAATGGGTGTGTTTTATGTTATTTATGTGATTATATCTCACTAAAGATGTTTTTAAACCATAAATGTTTTTATTCATTTTTTCCCTAAAACATCATATACTGGGTTTTGTTATTATTATTGACTTCCTTCCTCCTATGTTTTTATATTGACTTCTTCAAGTCTTGGTGATCCCAGGATATACTCCAGAACTGATAAATGTTGGCTAATGAATTATAGCTTTATTCCAGTTTTAGCACTGCCAGGCCAGGCTATATTGTCTGTGTTATGGGGTCAGTACGAAAAATTTTACTGAAAAATGAAACTGACCCAGAGAGAGGCTCTTCATGAGCTCCTGCACTTCCTCCTGCTCACCTCACCTCCCAGGGTGCTCCTTGCCTTCTCTGGGTGTTGATGCTTATTGTGATCTTGTGTACTATAATTTGAAAGGTATTCTCTGATACCTTCCTCTATTACACTCTATGATTACAGAAGAGACTGGTGGACATTGTTATGAATGTAAAAATGGGTGGTTATTTTTTAACCTGTCTTCAAAGCTAATTCATAAACAATAATTCAGCCTTACAATGTTCTGTGTGAGATAACTGTAGTTATTTTATAGATAATAAAATCTTATAAGGGTTATGTTTGGTTCATGAGAGTTACTCATTTCCTTTTCTGGGGATGGGTTGGTGAATCAAGTGAATAGCACAGAGAAGAGTTTCTCAAACTATCTCTTGTGGAAGGTTAGTTTTTTAAAAAAAATTTCCAAGAGGTTGGCAACTTTTGTAAATCCAATAAAAATAAACTACTGTTTTTCAAAAGAAGACATACAAATGGTCAGGGTATGAAAAAAATGTTCAACATCACTAATCATCAGGGAAATGCAAATCCAAAGCACAATGAGATTCCACCTTGCTCCAATTAGAAGGCTGTTACCGAAAAGACAAAGGAAAAGTGTCTTTTCTTAAATACTGTTGGTAGGAATGTGAATTGGTACAGCCATTATGGAAAACAGTACAGTGGTATCCCGGAAAATTAAAACAAGTACTACCATATGATCCAGGAACCCCACTAATGGGTATATATCCGAAAATAAAAATCAGTATGTTAAAGAGATTTCTGCACTCCCATGCTTATTGCAGCACTACTCACACTAGCTAAGTGTCCAACAGTGGATAAATGAATAAAGAAAACGTGATATATATACACAATAGAATACTACTCCACCATAAAAAAAGAATGAAATCCTGTCATTTGCCAGAACATGCTGAACCTGGAAAACCTTATGTTAAGTGAACTAAGTCAGACACACAAAATACCACATGATCTCACTCATATGTGGAAACTTAAAAAAAAAAAAAAGTTGGGGCTGGGCGTGGTGGCTCACCCCTGTAATCCCAGCACTTTGGGAGGCCAAGGCAGGTGGATCACGAGGTCAGGAGATCAAGACCATCCTGGCTAACACAGTGAAACCCTGTCTCTACTAAAAATACAAAAAATTAGCTGGGCGTGGTGGCGGGCGCCTGTAGTTCCAGCTACTTGGGAGGCTGAGGCAGGAGAATGGCGTGAACCCGGGAGGCGCAGCTTGCAGTGAGCCAAGATTGTGCTACTGCACTCCAGCCTGGGTGACAAAAAAAAAAAAAATTGGTATCACAGAAGCAGAGCAGCACAGTGGTTACTAGAGACTGCAGAAGGGGATGAATGAGGGGAAAACAAGGAGAGGTTTGTCAATGGGTACAAAGTTACAATTAGGAGGAATAAAATTCTGGTGTCCTGTAGCATAGTAGGGTGACTATGGTTAACAGCAAGGTATTGTGTATTATAAAATAGCTGGAAGAGAGGTTTTTGAATGTCCTAAACACAAATAAATGATAAAAGCCTGAAGTGATGGATATGCTAACTAAGCTGATTTGATCATTATATAACAGGTACATGTATCAAAACATCACATTGTACTGCATAAATATATATAATTACAATGTGTCAATTTTTAAAAATGCTAAAGAATGCAAAATGCTTGCCTCCTTTTAATAGATTAGATTCAGTAGACATAAAATTACATTTCAACTAATATTACTAAACATAACATAAGAAAAAAGTGAATTTTTAAAAATTGTACATATTGTTCACTGACAACATCTGGAAAGGCAAATAAAGAAAATTACTATTACACTCAAAATTTTTGTAATTCTTCGATCATAACATGAAGTTATGAATGGAATAAATTCTGCATATTAAACACCTATGTACACACTTTAATGAACAATTTGTATATTAATGTGTAATTTTCATGTGATGAATGAGCTTGCTTCTTGATGTTAACTTACCTAATCTAGGTTAGACTGATGACAGTGTTACTCACAGGGGATAATGTATATCAAAACTCTCTCTATGTTTTGATAACAAAATAGACAAACCAGTCTTACATAAATATATTCATGGCAAAGAAAACAGGATATTCATTTTTAACATTTTTTCCCAAAATGTAGCAAATGATGCTCTATGTGCAAAATTTTTAAATTCTTTATCAATACCTACAATTTATTCTGTAAAATTGTGGTTAAATTTAACTTAACTTTTGAACAGACAGGGACTTTTGTATTTATATACACTACAATTTATTCTGTAAAATTGTGGTTAAATTTAACTTAACTTTTGAACAAACAGGGACTTTTGTATTTATAAACACTACA